TCTTTCCCTCCTGCTTCTTACTCTGCCATGTCCAGGTCTGGCCAAACACAGGGAACAGTGTTTTCTGCTCTTAAATATCGTATGATCTGTGGTTGCCAAGCACTGTCCAGTTACAAGGGAAACTTTTTTCCCTGTTTTTGTATCAGCAGGGTGTTGGGTTTTTCTTCTTTAGAAAATAAACAACCCCAAACAAACACTGCAAACTAACAAGAAAGTAAAAACCAAAACCAACTGCACGGCAAAACCAGAGCTAGTTGACCCCAGGGGGATGAATAAAATGAGCATTTCCTGATGATGATTCATGTGACCCAACTTGAAATAGGACAGCTCGTCTGCCAGAGGTGCTGATTTCTCAACGGGTTAGATAGAGCTTAGGCTAGCTAGGTTAGACTTAGATGCCTAACTCTCGCTGCTCTTACTTCTAGACTTTATTTTCAGAAAGAATACACAAACACATTAAGAGCAAGCTTATTCTAGCTGACTTCTTTAAACCTGCTTCTTGGAGACCTTTGGACTGCACAAATATGTTCCTGCTTGCCAGAAAATACCGTGAGGAAAGCCTCCCTTTGAAGGTTAGCTCAAGTGCAGAAAACGCCCTCTAATTGCTCTCTTCAGCAGCCCTAATAACTATCAAATTTCCAACCCCAAAGCCAGGTTTGCCACTGTCCAGACTTAAAAGCGTCCTTTTAAATAGGACAGGTATTGAGGAATACAGCAATTGCATCACCAGTTTTTCCAGGGCACTCAAATACTAAACTTGACCTATTTTTCACCAGATGCGTTGTAATCAACCACAGTCTAAATATTTTACTGGGAGGAAAATGTCATGGGGCAGCAGCAGCCCTGTTTCTTCTGTGAAGAGGAGGAAGCCATGTAATCGTAGCTTCACACAGGCAGCTGCTTTCCTGTGACTTGAGTTCCTGGGAAAAAAATGGTTCTGAGACTTCAGTCAGGAAGAACTCGATACTCATTTGGTTTTGTCTATGTCCTCTAAACTAAAAAATGCGATTTGGCTGGGGAATCAGTCTCACACTCATCACCTTTTCTCTTGCCAAGGAGAGCCTCCTTTTCCCAGCCCCTGCCCTGTGAAACCACCACAGTGTTTTGATGCTTCAGAAAAAATGCTGTAATTCTAGCACACCATTCAGCAGAGGCGCTAAGCCAGGTGCAGGTATTCATTTCCTCACAGACAGCAGCATGGAATGTATGCTGGCAGCACTCTGTAGAAATATCCACATTAATATTTTCCACTGCTTTACCATACAGTAAAAAGCAAATGCAGACATTTAGCTCTTGGGCACCTAACGCTGGCAGTGGAAGAGGGGATGGGGAACCATGTGTGTAAAAGTAGAATTCATCTTCTGGGCATGAATTTAAACCACTCAGTACACCATAAAAGTCATTTGATCTATTTTGTTCATAATAGAGGAATGTTTGTGGGGGTTTTTTTTCCCATGTCTAGTAGCTAATTACGTCCTTGCTGCCCCAAATACTGACTTTGATTTATCTGTAGGGCCTATAAGCCTGTGGTGTGTCACACAGGCAAAAACCACAGGGGCAGCTGTGACTCAGTTCTTAATCCTGATGGGACTGCAGTGAAAATGGGATGACTGGTTTCTTTGTTTTCACTTGCTGTAGGAACGTGATCACGTTTGTCATGGCTTTTTTCTTTAACTATAGGAAAGAGTAAATAGTCTGGGCTGCATCTTCCTTTCGGTTACATCTGTAACTACATGATATAAAATAGTTTCTACATAAAGAGAGGAACATGATCTTTTCTTTTTGCTGGGGCAAGGTATTGCTGCACTTTCAGGATCTTGTCGTTCGGTAATCTGTGTGGTTAGGTGGAAATAGCAGGCTATGGCATCTGAACTGTGGTGGAAGCACAGACTTGCGTCGCTTCTGGACTCCATAAATGGAGGAGACTTTTCAAAGTAGCGTGCTGCTAAGGCGCAAATCAAGGCAAAATTCCTTATTCCTGGAATGACAACTCAGCTAATTACTATGTTTAGATTCTAAGAAATGGCATTTTAATCTTTTACAAGGCTTTTGGCTACCACTCCTGAAAGCAGACCAGTTCAGAACTGGAACTAGGCATATGGAGAGCTGAAACACTGGTTCTACTCTAAGAGCTTTTTCTCAGCCCGTCATCTTCCTTTCTGCCAGGCAAAGCCATCTTCCTTTCTGCCAGGCAAAGCCATCTTCCCTTCTGCCAGGCAAAGCCATCTTCCCTTCTGCCAGGCAAAGCCATCTTCCTTTCTGCCAGGCAAAAGGCTCTGTAAGGATGAAAGCCCCAGAAACGATCACCTGCCATCTCCTGGGAGATACAGGAGCCTTGTGACTTGTGCTGGAAACCCTCTGCTCAGAAAAAAAAAAAAAAAGGCAAATTAGCCTTCCCTTCTGGAAGCAAGTTAAGGGCAACTGCTGCAAGTGTTGAAAGAAGTGCTGCCGGTAGCGTGGCAGCAGTTTTTAAGACCACACTACATGTCACACAGCAATACGTTGGCAGGTGACGAAAGGAGAGCTGCTGCCTTAACCTCAGGATAATGACAGTCGCACAGGACAGAAATTATACAGGAACTCTGTTCTGTGGCCTTATGGTTTCAGGGAGATTCCAAGCAAGTAGGAGCACGAGCAGCCCGCAGCACCAGGACATGTACCGCGCTGCTATCGCCTGCAGACAGGGAAAAGGAAACTGCTGGAGCTTTTCTAAGGCACCTGTGAAATAAGACTTTTCCCGCAGGTGCCACTTGGCAAGACAAGAGTGTGTATTCCCCACGACCTGCTTCAGCCTCAGTGTAATCAAAACACCTCCTGAGATACTTCCGATATTCAAATCACCTGATAAGAACAAGCTAATCTCCGCAGCTGATATCGCCAAATGAGTCTAGGACAAACAGCGTGTGTGTTCACCCAGGTGTGCACAAGAACCAGGTGTAACTGCTGCATCTCCCTTTCCCTGTCAGGAACCACCTGCTCTCAGGTCTCCTGTCACCCACAAAGCATCATCCCCTGAGCAGAACAAGCCGCCAGGCCAGTTAGAGAAAGGAGAGGAGTGAAAAGCTTCCCCGTATTCTTCCAGCCATGACTGGAAGAATCCCTGGCCACACAGACAGTACTGCTCCGTTTGCTGCAGTTCACAAGGATAAAGCCGAGACGTTGCATCAGGACCTGGCAGCTTTTTTTTGCTTCTTTAAGACCAAATCTTCACCCTGGGGCTGAATGGGATTGGGCACGTGACCCTGCTGACAGCGGTGTTGGTTCAGGCTTTGCCGCTGCTTTGCTTGACTCATCAACTGAACAGTACACCCAGAAGAACTGGGTCCCTTTGAAATACAGAAAAGGTTTATTCATTAAATTTTTTAATAAATAAAAGTGGCACTGAGGTGAGTGTACCAAGATGCTGAGTTTCATGAATCATGCCTAAGACCCACCTGGTGATTCAACAGGAAGGAAACCAAAAATGGAAACATTTGAAAACAAGTCATAAAGTATCTTTGCTAAATACAGTAACTTGTTACAGTAATGATTTCTGCTTCTGTGGCCCTTAAATCACTACTTGTGACAATGTTTATGAGTCTGTTAACAGAGTGTTTATAAAACAGTAGTGGTTGCTGAAGTAGTCAAAATAATGTGCTGGAAGTCTGATCAAAAAGAAAGGAAAGCTCAAGGAAATTTATTTATTTATTGGTCCAGCTTGACCTCGCTGAGTTTCCCAAGCTGTACCAGTTCATCTGTCCAGAGAAGACAGCGGGAGTTTTGATATGCCAGTCATCTGCAATGCACAGATAAACAACCTCCAGTGGGGGGGGAAAAAAAAACAACAACAAAAAAACCCAAACAAACCACTGCCTGGTTTGCATTTGTAATTTAGAACTCAGCTATGTTGTTTCACTCTGCCCTACAAATGCATGAGAAAAGAAATTGTTTGTATTTTGAGTTCAGATTTTCAGGATCCATTCTCTCTCCTTTGATATTGTCCTAGGTATTTCACTCTGCTTTTAAATGTTCTCCATCATATATATATGTGTGTATATATATATTCCCCTGAAGAGACTGTTTTAAGAAAGCCTGAAAAGAAAGTCAAATCAAAAGCCCCTCCAAAAAGTGTAAAAGACAACTATTGGCTAAACCAATAGGACCTTGAAATTTCTCATTATTGCTTATATATTCTGATTAATTACATGTTCTTCCCCTCCAAGCACACTTGCTCTCAATTACACTCCTCACAGCCTTTGTGACTCTCTCACTCTGCATCCAGTTGTCTTTCTAGTTTGGGTTAGTGATCACTGTGATCACTTTTAAAAAAGTCCAAGTAGCCTCGATTCCAACTGAGATGGGCCAAGCTTATTGACCAGTACGACTTCTGGGTTTGTAATGTCACACAGCAAAGTTTCTTAAATCCTTACATTTAGGGGAAGACCTAACTTTAAAATAACAGAAATTATTATGTAATAATGGGGTTGTGTAA